ATATCGAACATCTGGTATTCAGGCAGGAGTAGCGTAGTGGGAAGTTGCGCACTATCACATTGTATACTCAGAGAATCGAATCCCGAATTGTCACCCACGCAGGCCAACCAAGGGGTCCATTCTCCAGAGTCAGACGTTTGATACTAGACGAGTCTGGGAGGATAAAAGTTTGAACATTGGCTGTTCATCGGAAATCGCCATATAGCCCAAATAAACATTCAAACTCAAATTTCCTTAACTTAAGAACTAATCATTGAAGGTCACCTCTGCCCATTACCCATCGAACTCGCTTCCCCTTTACAACTGAAAGGGAAGGGATTTCTTTTTTTTTTTCTACAAGTTTTCTTCTTATAAGGGCCAGTCTCTTGAATAGTAAGAGAAAAAGTACCGCTGAATCCATTCCGAGCTTGAACGCTGAGTCCACGATTCCAATGCCATGTTTGTTCATACCACACGATAACCACATTTTTTGCTAAGGTTTCTGGTCTCTCCTTTCGTTAAAAATTTCTGAAATTTTAAAGCTACTTTTTGTAGTGGAAAGTAAAATCGTGAACGACCACGGACATTTCGATTATAGTTACAAAAATCAAAAAGCAGAAAATTATTGAAAAAAACAAAAAGTCAAATGGGTGAAGGGAGCCGACCAGGAGCCGGGCAAGGCCGGCCGGTATCGAACTACCAACGGGCGGCCCAATAGTTGATTTGTGATGGTGACCTGCCCTCAGTGAACTGACCTACCAATCCCTTTTTCAAGATGCATATATAAAGATTTGAGTAGAACATTGTGTTTGTGTTCCCAGACCACATTATGGTCCAACTATGCGAATAAAGAGGCTACTCGGGGAGATTTCCCAAATGATTAGGAGAACTTCCAAAAAACCCCTTCAGAATGAGTCGCTCAGTAGTGCATTGGAGGCTGGTGCTCGTTTCGGGCTTCCTGTACTACTGAGTAGTTCAACACTAGGTAATGTAAACGTTTGGGAATACTGCGACATCAGGAAAAACCCGTGTTTGTCAACTACTGTCGAGTTAAGTATCAGCCAGCTATTCCCATGGGTTTCATACAGTTCCGAAGTGAATTGGAAGTTTATTTTACTGGTTTTCACAGATTCTCAAAATCTTTGCTGATCATCCACCAACTGTCCGTCCCTTGATTCAGCTTTTCACTCAATATAGCCCGGCTCCCGTCTTCGATTAATTTCCCGATAACTGGACCCGAATAAACCATAAAACTTACTTTTCTCATAGGGTCCCCGATGGTCATGAAACTTTTTCCCAAGTCCCTCCATTTACATTGCCTATACTGGAGCATTGCGAAGCTCAGACCAAGCCGTATCACCCTATCAAGCTTACTGCTGAGCCTTTACCTTACTTTCCTGCCTCACTTGTTCATAAATATGAAGCGACATCCCAGGACATCCTCCCAATCCCATGACTAGAAAACTTCCTTTTACTGAGCCGATGTCGAGTAAATACACAACGATGAAAAGCTTCAATTTCACATCTCCCCTATCTTTCTTATTTCGAAATACCTAACAGTATAATATGTTTCGGAAGGCGTTAAAAAAGTTTAAAAGATTTTTTAAACAATCAGAAACTCCCTGTCTTCTTTCTCAAAGTTTTGCACGAGCGCTGGCAGGATGTTTCAATTATTAGAGAGTCTTGGTAGACTTGTCCCATACTCACCGACAAGAGTTAGCTTTTTTTCAATTGGTACGAAGTAGTCCTCCGTTGCTGAAGGCAAAAATCAAGGCGCCAATAAACTTTGAACAACTTTTTTTGCCATACGATTAGAGGAAGCGCTTGACTGATCGACGTTAGGAATTGAAGATTTAAGCGATTCTGTTTACTGAAAGGTGATATAGTTACAAGTGTCGCACTTCACAAACACACAATTCGGGACCGAACGAGGATGGATATCTTTGAATACGTATTGCCTAGGCCAATCGAAACTTCCATCCCTCCGGTTAGTTGATACTGGACTCGCCGGAGAATAAAGCCCTGTCTTGTACGTTGACTGGCAAACACAAGTCATTGTATAAGGCAAGACGTATCCAAACTGCTAGAACGATTCCGAACGGAAGTCGAAAGCCAGGGCGCATCCTATAACGGGATCGATTGATCCTAAAATATTATGTTTTTATGTTTATTAGAATGCATCCCATTTAGATAATGGGGATATCAGCAAGTTCGGTTATTCACTATAAGTACTGCAGCGCCTTAAACGGTGATAATCCTCGAATGATCCGTCAAAGCGTAAAACGGAAGCGGAGCGCTCGGGTGTGGTGCAGTAGGAACGCAATTGTCGCGTCGCGGCGAGATGGACGCCGCA